TCCATTCGGACATATTCGTCGCATCACCTTGAAAAGTAGGTAGATGCTCACCAAACTCTTAGCACAGACATCTCTGCTGCACTGTCTTGTGCGAAATTATGTTACTTATCGAAACATTTCTCATGTTATCCATTTCCAAGAAAAGCGTCCATGAGCAAACTAGTTCCATCACCGATCGTATACGGGGAATATTTATTAGTAGTTGTTGTGACTGGGCGCAAAATTAAGTCTCTCTTCTCTGAACTGGGCGAAATCGAATGTGCGTAAACTGTCCATTCTGCTCGTTTTTCGATAGGTTGGATGGAATCCTCTGTTCGTATTTACACAAGGACGCATAAAAAAGCTGGTGGGACAGGTTCAGGTATGCCTACAGGGCTGCGGGAATCTCTGTCTGGTCTTTTTACTGGTAATCTTGCATCTGAGTTAGACGACCTGACTTAGTGACAGCTACACGCCAAGACAGAAGTTTTGCCGATTCTGACAGCCTTATGGCTCATCTGCGATGTTTTCGTCCCAACTGTGCTCACAGGGAGTACCTTAAACAACAATCATGTTTTGCGCCAACACGAGCTCCATGCTCCAGTCACGTCTGTTAGTAAGATCGCTTCAGGGCACCTGACAATGAAACCAACAGAGTATCTGAGTAAGAAGGGAGAAAACCATTGGTAGTGTGAATTCTGGTTTCAACCCGGCTTCTATGTACCTGGTTGATATACATGGAAAGATGGGTTCAGAGCACATTTACTGTAGGCAAGATCTAAAGATCCGTGCAAGTATCCCGCTGAACTTCTCTGTCTACATAGTGTCAACTGACAGAACTTCGTTTGACAAGAGTTCCTTTGCAGTTCGGTCAGACATTATAATAAAAGAACATGAAATTTTTATTGAAGGTGACTAAGTTTCATTTGTGTGCTTTCCGACATGTGTGCTGCAGGATGAATTTAAGGCTCCCGACGGACGCTTTTCATTCAGCAGTCCCAATATTTCAATCCCAGTCCCAGACTAGCTGAAGGGTTTACGTAGTTCGCTCAGACGACCTTGGCGCCTTATTATCGGTTCTACAAAAAACGTTAAGGGGTGGTTAGGCTGTTAGAATTATACCGGCGTTTTCTTGCCGCTGATGTTCTCATTAGTATTGAGAAGATGCCAAAACTAGAGAATCCATTGTGGGATTTTTCACACTTTTTCGATCGTTGTACTTTGGATGCTCACACCAGCTCTGTACAAAGTTATTACTTTTAAGCCTATTAAAATCTCAAGCCAGGTAGACGACTGACGAGCTGAACTCCCTCCAGCCAACAGTGTTGTTGAAAAACTTCCGCGAGACGCTGTACTATGATTCCTTCTGAGTGAGTTGTTTTATAGATAAACGTAATCCCAGTCTCATCAGTGGAACGAATACGACCTACACTTCTGGGTGTAACACTGTGGAGAATACGGGACAGACCGGAAGCGGTTAATTATCCCACGCCAGACTTTCAGCTATGTTTGCTTGTAAGATAACAAGTTCCCACTCCATTATACTACTCAACTGGTAGATGATTTAAAAGAGCATTTGTCGAGCATACGCGTGCTTTCGATAAATTCTCATCGGGCCTGTAGATTTATACGGGAACGAGGTACAAGCTGAAACGTGTGAGCGATAAGAGCAATTGATCAACGTTCGTCTTTTCACACAAACGGGGTATGCGAATAGGGATGAGGGAAGGGGCGACAGTAAATGACAGTGAGAGTAAGGTAGAGCCGTGTCACAAGGGAAAAAGGGGGGGCGGGGACGCGGAGACATCAATACAGTTAATAAATCCTGGCCGGTAGACGCGGAGTTTGCGAGAGGTTCTTCTGTGCTCACAGGATCGGCCTCTGTAGCCTGATGGCAGTCGCTTCTGCTGTTGATAGTACGCGCTGACCCACTTGCTTTGGTTAGTTAGGTAGGACCTTGCAAATCACACGGAAGGCTTTGTTGGGATCCACACGATGCCCAGAATCAACTGTGTGCTAGGGTGGAGCTGTGTATGCTCCTCAGTTCGCCTTTCTTCAGCCGTGCTGGCAGGTGTTCTCGTATTCTTGCGGATAGGAGCCGACTCGTACGATCAACATAGCCTGCTTCACAGGAGCAAGGAAAGGAGTAAATGGTAGCCTATCCTTACCTTCCCCGCGTAGGATGCGGTCGGTTGAAAACAATACTTGAACTCTTGCTGCCGAGAGGGTACGTGAAACAGCTTGGTCAAGGCGCCTTCTGAGGAGTTCACTCGCCGCGTCCCCTTGAAAGAGGACTTTGAGGAACAGGGATTTCTTTTCCGACTAGATTACGTTTCTGTTAAAGAGGTACACAACAGTAGAAGTTCGCATATTGCCCAGACCAGGTGTACTTTCGATAGACGCTTCTTCAAATGCTGTCATCAGCTCTTCGGCTTCGAAGGACGTCTAGCATTAGTTCGGTCGGTTGAAATAATTTAGTTGAAGGACAAATGAAAATAGGACATAAAAGTAGGAAACCGCCTGGTACAGGTAGATTTACGCCAGATTCCAGTAGGGGTAAGGGCGTTCAGTATTAGGGGTAAAATGAGAATAAGGGGATAGGTACAGTAGGTGGTCTAACTCATGAAATGCCAACCGAAATTCCAAAATGCGTTTTCGTTTTCAAAAGATCGGTTAAGTAGGTTTGTAAAACAGATCAGTCTGCAGCGTCTTTCTATAATAATTTGATTACCTCAGGATGCCGGCTATTGAAATAACTTCCTTCCGGCTGCATGCAGGAGATACACTCTGTTATTTTCGATACCCTTAAAAATTCAATTATATTTCATAGAAAACATGAATAAAAATATCCACTGTTCTTCTTATTCGGTAGGAAAGTACGCCTTCCTTCAATTTTATACTCAAAAGAAGAGTATAATTCGGTTTTAAAAAGTTTCTAACTGTGAGATTTTTAATACCGTGAAATGGCCGTTCATAAAACGTCATGTTTATGCATTTACGGATGTGGCTTGTAAGTTAGCAATATGGCTCAAATCCACTGCAACATTTTATGAACCTTATAAGGACTCTTCTTAATACCATAGAGAAATGTATGGTTTTCCGTAGCTTGCAAACCCTGATTGCGAGTGTAACGGCAGATCGGGTTCAAAATTATTCTGGAATTGGAAAAGTCTCTGAAAACCGAATTATACCCTGCATTCGAGCATAAAGTTGAAAGAATACGTAATTTCCTACCTAATAAGCAGAATAATGGATATTTTTATGTATGATTTCCATGAAATATAATTGGACTTTTAGGAACATCGAAAATCAATGAGGAAATTGCATTTTACATAAGCAGTCATTTTTTTACAGAGTGTAGCTTTTGCGTACAGCCTGAAATAAGTTATTTCGACAGCCGGCATCCTGAGGTAATCCAAATATTATAGAATGACGCTGCACAATGATTAGATTTAAAATCCTACTTAATTAGTCTTTTCGAAACAAAAACGCATTTCAGAATTTCGGTGGACATTTCATGACTTAGCCCACCTACTGTATTTCAGAAATAAACCGCAGAGTCGCCTGTAATACGGGGGTACAGATTTACGCGTTCAGCTCAACTAATTTTGCAAAAAACGGAGCTCCGCTTCGGGAGTGCAATTTTCAGCCGATCCCTTTCCTCAATATTCAAACAGATTCCGGATAGATCACAAACCTCACAGACTATTCACAGGAATTTACTTTGACAAGCTCTCCGGTAGTTTGGCTTTTTTGCCGTCATACTTTTGGCCTGCCACAGTCTAAATGCCACTTTCTCCAATGGAAGCTGATTGTGAATCACTTGTACGTCGTCATTCAAATAGGGCAAGTTGTATCAATGTCTGGAAGGCAAACCTGCCCACAGCGTTATCTAAAATATAACTGGTAAGGGATCGATCTCAGAAACTCACCCCTTTGTCGTCCTTTTCCTGCACAAGTCTGAGTACACATGGTTGGGAATGAAATCAAGCACAGAGGCTAACCTAGTATTTCGCCTGTCCTCTGGTGTACCGTTAACATCCCCATTACTCAACCGGCACCAATAAAATTTTACTCGCTGAGATATCCCCTTTGGTTGAGAGTTTCAATTCCCATCCAGACGGAGTCATTAAAACTTGACCCGCGCCTCGTAAAACGGAACTGTCCCGGCGCTTGGCAATATTTTGGGCTGCGACTTCTACTACAGTGTCACAGCTGACAGCACATTGGTTTTATCTGGCGGGAAACGCCGAGCATTATTGGCCCGTCTCTCTTTGCATTAAACAGTGGAAAGTCTGTGCAGAACTGACAAAAAAGTCGGACCGGACGCAGCGGCTGACAAGACACCTGACCTCTGCATCTTGTCCCACGCACCGGACTGGCATCTTAACTGTTCGAGACCAACGTTAAGTCTACCTTGTAACTGTCAAATCCTTTGCTCTGATTCCCGTCACAACCGCCAATCCTGCTCTATACGCAAAGTCATTTTCTGAAATAATTCAACAAAGAGCAATAGTTAACTAAGACCTAAATCTCTCTATTCAGACCAAGGTAGGAAAATTCAACAGGATTAAAAGGGGTTCTAATAGTGCAAGTCGTTTGTCCGCTGGTGCATTGATCCCTAAAAATCTGTTCCCATTTGAACAATGAATTATTTTTTACTAACTTGAAAACGCTCTTAAATCAAACTGCCTTCTTTGTTTGTGGAATGTTGTTCTAAGAAAGCAAAAGTTGTTTATTTGCCCAATAGTACCAAATACATTTTCCACTATATAAGTTGAACTCTTCGCGAACTTCCTTTATTGATGTCACAATGAGGGGAGTTCCGCCATCCAGTGAGATAATAATTTGCGCACAGTAAGCTGAACAACAAGTGGGCAGTGCACTTCCCATAGGCTAGAAAAAGTCTTTACTTCATAAACAATGACTGTCGTGAAATCATTGGTTGAATTGAAGACCAGCTCCGTGTCTGAGTATAAAGACAAGGGCGTAACTTCCCTTGAAAAGACAACAAAAGCAAAATGGGTCTCTCTGTCGGCGGCTCCTGTCTGAAATGCCTTGTTTTCTTCTTCAACGCACTCGTTTTCGTAAGTTCTATTTTAATTTAGTCTTGGAAATTTTTTTCATTAGCCCGTTTCCTCCCTCCTCAATAACAAATCGTATGCCTAACATTGCCCCAAGATAATGGTTGGCTTGTCGTATTTGCGGTGTGTTCTTGACTAGTTTCAACTCCACCTTCACCGGCTACACGATACACTCAACCTGCTAAAGAAATAGTTAATTTCGCCTACCTTATGCTCAAAAATCAGGTTTATTTGGAAAGGCAGATTATTTTTTTGTTTTTTCACCAGATTTGTTCTTTGTAACGAGATTTTGGGCTTAATTAATTTTCGCCTTCAGACTTGAATGTTTAAAAAGAGAGGAGGTCAGATTTGCGCGAAAGATGCAATTTTCAGGATTTGTGACCGACAGTTATGTGGCCTGCATGGGAACACGCAAAATATAAACAATGGATGAGACCAGTTGCTTTAAGAAATTTACTAACACATTTGTCACCTCAAATGCTATCTCCCCGGCTGTAATATGTGGTTATGTAGTCTTACCTGATGGACACATTACTGTTACAGTTAGTGTTATGAGTTATGGTTAGGGGTAAGGGAAACTATCTCTCAACAACTCAAAGTACAACCGCGCATTTCTAATAGCTTTTTCTTGTATACAACTTCTTGACCTCGTCGCCTGTGCGTCGTCCGACCCCACCTTTAAAAACCCCTATTATCATCGGTCCCGTCTTACAGAGGGCTGGGGTTTGCTTACTTCAAGTGGGGCTACACAACCACATCTGACCCCCTTCCCCCGACAACCAACTTCGCGTGAAACACTTCCATTTCGCCTGTATTTTGAAGATGACATAGATTTAGTAAAGGAAGACCCACAGAAATTGTGGTTTGCCTGTCATGTTTTTTGTTTAGTCTAACTAACTTCAATCACACCGATCTTGTGTTTCAGGTTGGCGGAGGCATTCTTTCCGGATTTGGTATCTACCTCGTGATTGAATCTACAAAATCTACTTCTACGCAGACAATAGGCGTATCAGCCTTTGTGCTTGCCGTCGGTCTTCTTATCTTTCTGCTCGGTTTCCTTGGTTGCGTTGGTGCTTGCACAGAAAATGTCTGCATGCTAAAAACAGTAAGCCAGCAGAAGGAAATCACATTCGCTACGATTTAGTTCGCTGTAATAATTGGAATCCTGGTAATACTTGAAATTATCGCGGCCATTCTGATCTTCGTATACCGTGGGAAGGTAAGTTTTCTGGTACTTGCAAATGTTTTTTTTCAGATTAAAGAAATTGCCACGAAGGGTCTTCAGTACCAGATTGACGAGATATTGTCCGGTAGCAACGTGGTTACAGAAGAAACAAAAAAAGCCCTTGATGAATTACAGAGTCATGTATGAGTGAAATTCCTAAAGTTATGCTTGCTGATATAGCTAAAATGTTGTGGAGGTGAGGGACCTGGCGACTGGAAAGGTCACATACCGGCCTCTTGTTGCGCATCCGGCAGTGCAAATTGTTTAAATCCGTATCCTCAGGTAAGACAGAAATCCAATTTTTTAAGTCTCGTTTCTACTTCCGGTAAGTGAGGAGGTCTCTGGATGGGGTTCAGATCTGTAGGTCCGAAATTAGTATCTAGCAAGTATAAAGTGATAGTGTTTTCATTTTAACAATAGATACAAGATGTTGATTTGCACTTTCTGCGAAATGTCCAAATCTGTTTTGAACATCCCGAGTTATGCTTTACATTCGTGACAAATGATTGTTGGGCAAATAAGAGGCGATCAGTGTTTCAGTCTTTATTTGCTGATATTTATTTGTTCATTTATCAGTAAATTAGTCTATTGTTTCCTTTAAATTTTACTGCAAAATTGTTTTGTGAAATACATACATTAAAAAAGAGGCGAAAATAAGAATCCACAAGCCACACCTAGAATTAAGGCTATTTTTAAATTTCCAAATGTGCAATAAAATACTTGCGAATGGTTTAACTATGAAGATTCTTAATTACTGGTTTTGATTTTCTCTGCTTATGTCCTCACTTCCATATGATCTTTGCAAGGGCTGTGCTGAGGCTTTATACAACGCGGTAAAGGATAAGACGCTTGTGATGGCCATCATTATAGTCGTGCTCGCTGTCCTCGAAATCGGTGCCATTATTGCCGCCTGTGTTCTGGCACACAAAATAAATGCTAAGTAATTACTAAACTTGTCTCATGCTCCCGCAGAGGTTTCCCGATCTACCGAACATTTTGTCATCAAATTTTTTGGCTTGTTGTACCCTCTACATCCTCCTTAATAAAACCCATAACAAAACATTTGCTCAGTACATTCTGAGATATCCCTCCCGATCTTATAACACAAGAAACTCTTTCCAATAAAGCAATTTAATTCAAATGCTTCTTCGAGAATCTATTTATCTTTGATCTCTTTTTATGAATAAGCAGGGTAACACGTCGGTGTATATCTTCATAGTTAAACTGTTAACATGTTTAAAATGATGCCTTTATCCTGTCTCTCAAAGTTCACTTCTCTGAGTATTTTTTACTTGGGGAGACTGTGGTTCTCTATGTTTTCAAACTCCCGCGTTTACAAACCATTATAACCTTACAGAAGGCTTACCGCTTTTGTGAAAATTCTCACTTGAGCTGGTCGTATTTCCTGTCAGGTGCCGCGCATAATTGGCGTCTGCAGACGTTTTGCTAAGCCATGACGGAATCAGTTCTTTGAATATGTACAGTTCCGAGAATTGTCTACTGAATTGGGGGTGTGATATGGCATATTGTGGAAATGTCTGCCCAGGACGTGGTTAGCGGTCTACCTGCAGAAAGTCTAACACATGACTCGAAAGTTGTGATCAAGCGGCCTGCGTCGAAACAAATATAGGCCTTCGTGCAGGAATGACTGTCGGAGACAGTTAGGAAACAAAAAATATGTGATAGTACTTGGTTTGCCAAAATTGGCTGAGGACATCTTCGGCAGAAAAAGTTTACGGTTCGAGTGGTGAATGAAGGACATTGACAGGCCGCATTAAGGTGTAATCGTAAGTACCCGAACAGATTTTAAACAAATTAAAATGGACGCTATAAGGAGGATCACGTATGAGTGGTAGATGGAGTCAATGCTAACCTAACATCGAACGCTCCAGCCAGTGAGTCCAAACTGGTTACACAGACGCCACAGGGGAACGTGGTCTGCCGGTTGTTTTGTGCCCCAGTCCAGTGGTCGGAGGTCTCCAAGGTTCGGCTACTGGAACGGTCTAGGCTGCCGCCGCAGAAGTTAGTCGGGAAGCGGATTATATGAGTGATGTCCGACTAGGGTTATTCTTGCTCAGAATGTACATTAGGTAAGCAGGTGCGTGAAAAATCGACGTAATTTCCATAGAATGATTGCAAGCAGAAGTTATTACTCAAGTGGGATTGCAATATTCACATGTAGGGGCGTACTCTCTAAGAATTGCATACGTGCCAGGATGCTGAATATGCTTCCGTGGTACCCATGGATTTTGGATGTCCGTAGGACATTGATTATACTTTAATGGAAGTGCGCATTAAAAAAAAATTTCGTGTCCAGTGTTTTAGAGTAACTTCTGACATAAACTCCAACTCCGCAAGGGTGGTATCTGCCCAGTGTAAGATTTTTGGGTCCGCGACAAATTCTTACTTACTAAAATGTCTATTTATGTGGTGCCGTATTTGGTATCGTCACGACGTGGCCTCTGAACCGCTGAATCTGACTCAATAATGCGAGCATGCTGCGTATGACAATCGATTGCAGGATTTGCTTGTTCCTGATCTGTTACCATCACTTCACCCTCAGCGTCCTAATGTACACAACAGTTCTACCGTCGTTACCAGCGATGTCCACCGTGTGCATCACAGCAGAGTGCGAACAGGGACAGTGGTTTGAGTCTGAAGGCATTTATGGTGATAGTAGACTTGCGCACCACCTACCATACCCTCTTCTCTCCCACCTGGGCCCGGGGACATTACTAAGTCAAGAAGACCAGAAGCGGTAGAGGCCTCAGGTATCTGGAACCGCGTAAACCCGCACCTAGAGGTACCACCACACTCCCAGGTCCACAACAGACACTGAGCAGGATTTTGCACAATCATAAAAAGGGGGAGGCGGCTCAAATCCCAAACGGCGCAGTGTAAACTTGCACATGGGCGTGCCAACACGCCCCAATGTTGGCATTTGTTATGGGTTCGCGTCCCCGATAGCCCCTTCGGGGATCTGATCACGCGTTGACCCAGCGCGCCTACTGCGTGACCGTTTTAGGGGCAAAACGTACGCACGTACGCACGCACGCACGCACACACTGAAAGTTCGACCATCGGTTTCGATGATGTCCACCGTGTGCCCCACAGTTGCAGCAGCAATGGGAGCAGGGACGGTGACTTATGCAGGGGTTTATAGTGCCGGTGGACTTGCGTAGCATCTACCTACACTCTCTCCTCCTCCCTCGCCTGAGCCCGGTGTCAAGACAGTGTCAAGAAGACCGGAGACGAGAGAGGCCGCAGGTGGATGGCTCGGACGGATCCTCACCTTGGCGTTCCACCACACCCCCTGGCCCACACAACAAATAACCAGGATTTCAACCAACACAAGAGAGATTTGGAGGCTGGCACGACCGAAGCCGCACCTGGGCGTGCCGCCAACGCCTGACTCGGATCCCACACTGTGATGGGAGTGCCATAAAGGCCACATTAAAAAGGAGCCATTGCAGCCTGACTCTCAGACCGCCTCCGGTCAAGGAGGAGGTCCAAGGTACCCCGTCAGTTGGCAACCTTCCAAGCCACGGCTTTTAGCGCACCGTGATAGCTTCAAGCGCGTCAGATTGTTTATAGTGAGGAGAAAGCGCGCTGAGTCGTCGACCTCACTCTCCCTTCCCACTCCCACACCCCAGCCGCTGTCCGAGCCGGTCAGCAGACTGGAGTGGGAAATGGGCGCGGTGGCTGTCATGGTCGACTGACCATGACTGCGCGCGCCACGGCACGACACGGTCTTTTCTTTGCCGGAAATGGAGAAGACATCGTAACCTTGAGGAGGACAAATCGGCCAAATTTACATGTCTTCTCTCGTCAGTTGACTTAGTTACACAAGGATGGACGCTGTCATCTCCGTCCCTCAGGATATCACAGCTGATGACAATAAACTAAGTGCCATCACAGGGCAAACATAAAATTGCTGTCTCAAGCGACCACATTTATCCCAACCTAACTGTCCCGAAATGGACACACGTACACCTCGCTCCATCATTCATCGATTTTTGCTATCAAATGCCCTTCTACTTAAGTAGTGCTACCTTCTCACTGTGAATTCCGCTCCTTTCTATCTGGTCATATAAACATATACGTTTATATGCTGGTTGGGCTCGAGAGAGAGCCGTAAGGCACACCAGAACGAGTGAATTCCGCAAGAATGATCGGTATTTTATTATATAAACAGAGCGACAGGTGGGAACAGAATAGTGCTCCTCAGACATCTTCAAAATATGTATTCTTGTGGAATTCCTCGGATCTTAGATAGACGAGACAGAATAAAGTTACTGAATGTCTATCACAGCATGAGAAAAATGACAAACGATTCACCAAAGTGATGATAAACTACCTACATACTGATCTGTACAGATCCCTAGGGAACAGCACAGTCCTGTTTTTGTGCGTTACAATGCTTACGCATATGAACAGAAGATAGCACTGGGGGCTCTCAATGATGGACGAGAATACACAGATCAAAACCGACAGGACAACGGGCCCGTGGACCAGTGGTTAGAGGTGTTGGACTTCTAACCAAGAGGTCGCGAGTTCGAGCGGCAGGTACTCCATACTTCGGTGTTGGGTAGAACTGGCTGACGACGGCTAATAAGCCAGAAATGGCCATTCCAGTCTACCTTGTATTTGTCGGTAATAACATTCCACATAGATGTTTGCATAGCAAAGTTCGTGCTGGAACCAGGGCATCGGTCAACAACACTATGAAAGTGTTGCTAAGGTAACCTGCGCATAAAAGGCCTTACACAATTACTGTTATTCTCCTGCGAAGTTTAGAAACCTACATCACATAGACTGTAAGAGAGTATCGACCCCGCCCCCCCCCCCTCTTTCTCGAAATTCTTCCCCATTCATTGGTCCAAAGAGCACACTGAGGAATGAGCCGGACACCGCGGCACACTAATAAATGATGACTGATCCTAGGTGGCCATGAGACGAAGCAGATCATCACTAGCGGTCACTAGAGCCTTTCGCACCCGAATCCAATGGGGGCAGTCGTCGAGCACGTCAGGTTGAGAGGCTGGCCTGTGTGACGGCCGAGGTTATCCAGTCAGATATAACCACACATAATAAATCCCGTCCCGTTTAATAGGAGGGGCTGAAAAGCAACAAGAGTTATTAAACGTATTCTACACGCAGGGGAGGTTGCCATACGTTAACAGTTTTCTTGTGGGTCAGGAAAAAAGGGCGTCCGTCCGGGGGCACGTGAGTCGCAGAGTGTCTGTGTGGCAGGCGTGCGACAAGTGAATTGGCGGAGTCGTCATTATGGTCGGGCGCATGATTAACCAAATCATTCAATAAATCGGAAACGAACGATCACGAGGTGCTAAGGCTGGAGTACATCCCTGGCCGGCTTGACGTCGTCCTGGTTCGGCACAGCCGAAGAAGGGACGCCTAGGATGTGACCTGAAGGGATGCTGGGCATTAGGTGCGCGATTGTAGTGGAGCTCGATTGTCTGCACGGCTGGTCGACTGACAGGTTTCCAAGTGGGACTATTACATCTGCTTCGTGAACAAAAAGGAAGACGTTCGACTGAGCCGGGAGACAAGGGTCCGTTCGCCAAGGGCAGCCGAGGACCCCTGAATTGAATTTTAAAGTGTCATTTGAATTCTGGAGTATGGGAGAAATCCAAGAATTTGCATTTATAATTGCTGATTATGTATATACAAACAACCAAACAAAATAAAAGTGTATTTTCGATTCCGGTGAAGGTCTGAGGCGCAAGTTACAGGATTTCGTAAGGCCCAGTGATGAAGAAGACAGCTCATTCTGATGCTGAAGGCTTTAATTTGCCAGTCTTAAAAATTGCCACCAGGTACAGTAGATGTGCTGAATCATGTAATGTTGGCAAAAATTCTAAAATGCGTTTTCAACTCGAACAGATTGCTTAAGTAGGGTTGTAATATCAACCACCATGCAGCA